TTGTCCTAACTTTTCCCCCCTATAGGCACCCCTGCCCAGCAGTCAGTATTTCACTTACAGGAAGAAGCCAACAGCCAATAACATTCACAATCCAAGTCCAGAGTCCAGCTAGTTTCTGCTCCAATCTAGTGCCATATGCAAACATTTGTCTGTGTGATTTAGAAGTAACATGGAACAGATCACCGACTATCTCTGCAGGTATAAGAACTACAACTTCCCCATTGGACTCATTACTGCAGAGTATATTGATTCACTCCAGAGCTTTGAAATTCGAGATAATGACATATTCCTTGTCACTTATCCAAAGTCAGGTCAGTGAGACAAACCCTTTTGTATTTGCATTTACACTTTTGCTGAGAACCGGTGATATCTCATAACGTATGTCCTCCCACAGGAACTATATGGACTCAGCAGATCATCATCTCCATCTGTGAGTTAGATGGAGGTCTAAATGAATATCCAAACAACTCGGAGCAGATGCCGTGGCTTGAGTTCCCAGAGGATCGAGACCATTACTCTCTGCGACCGTCTCCACGGCTCTTCACCTCTCATCTCACTCCGGCTCTCCTGCCTCTGGGACTGAAGGACAAGAAGGCAAAGGTCAGTATGATGGAAGCTTAATTTTACCAGGTAAATAAAAGTTTAAAAAATATAGAGAGAAAGTTTGAAATGATACATCCGAATATAAAGTACATAGATATTGTGGTGAATCAATTATGTGTAGGGTTGCAAATAATCTGCTACACTACCATAAATGCACAACTGCTCATTATTTGCTCAATTAACGGAATAATCGTTAAGGTCTATGAAGTGTCAGAAAATGCCTACAATTATTTCCCAGAGATTATTTTTGTTCCACCAACAGTCCAAAACCCAAAGATATTCAATTTACTATAACATAACACAGGGAAAAGCAGGAGATCCTCACATCTGAGAAGCTGGAATGATCATCATGTTTTTTTCCTAGCAGGGATGAGTTTCCATATTCACTGTGTGCCTATAAACTACTAATTAAGGTGCAATAAAATAGTGAATTATTTGAATGAAGTTTGGCATAGACAAGAGAAGAGTATTGGTTTCAGCTCTGGGCTGATTGTTGTTTGTTTTTTATGTCAGATTATCTATGTGATGCGGAATCCAAAGGACAACATGGTCTCCTATTACCACTTCAGTGCTGTCATCAAGGACCTGGAGACGCCCAAGAGTTTTGAGCACTTTTTTGAGGACTATATGACGGGCAATGGTGAGGTACCTCAGGGTCTGGATAATGATCATGATCACCACATAGAGTTCAAAGCAGATTTGACAGAATTATTTGAAAGACTTTTTAATTTTACGTTAAAAAGTCTGGGTTGTTATTATGAACATTTCCTCAACAATTTGATGATACATTAATGATAGTGTAATGATACACATACAAGATACATTACTCTGTTTTACAGTTAACTCATCATCCTGGTTTGACCACATCAGGGAGTGGCATTCAAAGAAAGACCAATACAACGTCCTCTTCCTGACCTACGAGGACATGATTTTGGTAAGATGTGTTTTTTTCCCTGTGGTTGTTAGGCATTTTCATGTACATGAAAATTAAAAATTAAAAATCGAATAAAAAGAAAAATAAGTGTGTTTTAACTTGTTCTATGTTGGGCTTCTGTTTCTCTTTTAGGACCTGAAGACAGCAGTAACTAAGATCTGCACTTTTTTAGGGAAAAACCTGAGTGAAGCAGCCATTGAGCAA